TTGATTGACAGTCTTTTTCTTTCAGCACTTTGTACCTGTCATACCACTACCCTCCAGTCTCCTGGCTCTGAGGAGGAGTCAGTTCTGATCTTGTTGAGGACCGTTGTACATGATGAGCTGCTCCTCCCTCGATGCTTTCAAAATGCTTTCTTTGATTTTTCTTTCAACACTTTGGTTCTGTTGTGTACAGGTTGGATCTCTTTGCATTCATCCTTCTTGAAGTTGCTGAACTTCTTGGATGGGTGCTAATGTTTTTCACCACATGTGGGACATTTTCAGCCCTATTTCCTCAAATGTTGCTTCTGTCCCTTTTCTGTCAGTCCTCTCCTCCTGGGCCCCCCATTCTTCATGTGTTAATGAGCTTTATGGAGCCCTACAGGTCTCTGAGGCTGTTAATTTTTCTTTATTCTTTTTGTGTTTTCTTTCCTCAGACTGGATAATCTCAAATGACCTATCTTCAAGTTCACTGATTCTTTCTCTGCTATCTCAAATATGCTGCTGGGCTCCTCTATGAGATTTTTCTCTCTTTTTTTTTGTACTTATCCAGAATTTCTATTTGGCCCTTTTTTGATGATTTCTATCTCTCTGTTTATATTTTCTATTTGGTGAGATGTCATTCTCACACTTTTCTTTAGTTCATTTGACACCATTACCTTTAGTTTCTTTGGACATATTTCGGACAGCTGATTTAGAGTCTTTTTCTGGTAGTGGCCATGTCTGGGCTTCCTCAGAGACAATTTCTACTGACTACCTTTTTTCCTTTGTATGGGCCATAGTTTCTTGTTTATTTGCATTTCTCATAATTCTTAGTTGAAAACTGGGCTTTTAAGATAACATAACATAACAGCTTGGGAAACCAAATTCACCCCTTCCCGGTAGGGTGGGGCGACAGTTTCCCCCTTTTTGTTGTTGTTACTACTGTTTGTTCTGTTCTCTGAAGTAATCTAAGCCTGTTCACTTTGTCCTATGTGACCACACATGTCTCTGATGAAATTCGTGGTGACCTAATATTTGGACAGAGATTTCTTAAACTCCTAAAACCAGTAAGTCTTTTGTCTTTGCCAAAGGGCTCTGGGAAGATGGGGTGCAGACGATGTGCCTGCAATGTTGTCAGGCGGATGAGAAGCATGCTCTAACTTTCCTTTCCAGCCTGCACAGAGGTGGGCATACAGGACTCTGCCAGGTGTTTCCTGAGCATGAGCATAGCCCTATACATGTGCCTGGCTTCTAGAATCTCAAGAATATGTTGGAGCTTTTATTTTTTCTTTCTGTTTTTAAATTGAGGTGAAATTCACATAACATACAATTAACCATTCAAAAGTGTACAGTTCAGTGGCATTTAGTGTATTCACGGTGTTGTGCAAGCACCATCTCTCTCTAGTTTCAAAACTTTTTCATCACCCCAGAAAAACACCCTGTGCACATAAATTAATAACTCTCCACTCCACTGTCCTCCTCTCTCCTGATAACCACTAATCTCCTTTCTGTCCCTGTGGAATTGCTTGTTCCAGATACATCATATAAAAAGAGTCATATAATACGTGACATTTTGTGTCTGTCTTCTTTCACTCAGCACACAGTTTTTGAGTTTCATCTAAGTTGTAGTGTGTGTCAGGACCTTGTTCCTTTTTATGGTTGAATAGTATTCCACTGTGTATATATCATGACTTGTTTCTCTCTCTATTCATTGTTGGACATTTGGGTTGTCTCCACCACTTGGCCATCAGGAGTAATGCTCCCATAACCATTGTGTGTAAGTTTTTGTGTGGACATATGTCTTCACTTTTCTGATAGATACCTACAATGGAGTTTCTGGGTCACATGGTAACTCTATGTTCAGTGTTTAATGGCAGCTGCACCATTTTTCATCCCCACCAGCAGGGCATGAGGGTTGCTGTTTCTCTGCAACTTCTCCAACGCTTGTTGTTTTCAGGGTTTTGTTTGTTTGTTTGTTTGTTTTGGTAACAACCATCCTTATGGGTATGAAGTGGAATCTAACTGTGGTTTTGATTTGCATTTCTTAGTGACCAATGATGTTGAATATATTTTTGTGTGCTCATTGGCCATTTGTATATCTTCTTGAGAGAAATATCCATTCAAGTCCTTTGCCCATTTTAGAATATTATTCTAGCTTTTCAAAGCCCCCTATAGACACCTCATCCCCTAGCTTTTCCCCCTACACTTTCTGGTTAGCTTATTGTTTGTCCCAAATCCTCTCAACTGCCTCATGCAGCTCAGCCAATGAGAAATGACATGTGTCTCATGTCAGCCAATGAGAAACACTACAGCCCAGCCAATGGGAAGGGCTGCAGCTCAGCCAACAATACTACAATGGAAAATACTACAGCCCAGCGGATAAGAAATGCTGCAGCATAGCCAATGAGAAGCTGTTGCTGTGCTCAACTGTTACTTTTCCCGAATGGACTTTCCTTTAGAACAGCCCCTCCCTACTCCCCCTTTTTCCCTATAAAAGCAGCTTTCTCTTTTGTTGGATTTGCTTACAGCTTGCCATAGCATGCACATCTAGAATTACAATTCTTTTGGCTATTCCCAAATAAACTCATTTTGAGATGAAATAACAGGCAAATTTGCTTTTTACGTTGACACCTTCTAGATTCTTCTGGCTGGTCTAAAAATTCAATTGACATGAGACACATTAACTGGAGAAAATCAAATTTAACTTCATGTGTATTGGGGCCTCATAAGAAAAATGGTACTGAAAGATGTAACCAAAGCAGGCAGCTTTTATACCTTTTAGACAAAGAAACAATACATTTGCGAAGAACTAACAAGACAAAGGCTTGTACTGTAGGCTGTACAAAGGCTGTAACAAGACAAAGTACTAATTAATGAAGAAACTAAGCAGAGTTTGTTTTGTGAAAATTAATAAAGGGAAACCTCACTTAAAATACAGTCAGGAGGCCAGAAGGGGGAGGTCCCATGCAGTCCCATTCTTAGTCAATTACAGGAAGGGCAGTCAATTACATGCAGAAATGTCCATCGCATCCCAGACAGAAATCTATGACCCCAGCAACTCAGCCAATGAGAAACCATCACCACCCTGAACTCCTGCTTTTCCCCAATGGATTTTTATTTAAAGTAACTACTCCCAATTTCCTTCAATTTCCCTATAAAATAACGTTCCTCTCCTTTGATTGTTGGATTTGCCTATGGTCTTCGAAAGTGCACATATTCTGAATTCCAATTCTTTGGCTCTTTCTGAATAAACTCATTTTGCTGGTAAAGTAACTGGCTGTTTTATTGTTAAGGTTGACACTCCCACTGGTGGGAAGCCTGCAGGAGATCTGACTCAGGGAGCCCACAGTTCACCTTCGGCGAGAAAGCCCCAGTGGTCCCTGCTCTCCTGGAGGAGGAGAAATCCCTGCTCTGACCTGGAACTCAGCTCCCTTCCCTAGTTCTGTCATGGCCTCCAGACGTGTGAGGACTTGGGGGTGCTCCAGGGTAGACCCTGCCCGCAACCAGCTGGGCAGGTGCAGTGGGAGCTGGGGAGGCCACAGCCCTGCATCCGCCCTGTGCAACGGGACCCCAGCTGTGGATCCTCCACACCCCTCAGCCACACCCCTCAGCCACACCCTGTTATCTGCCCCCAAAAGCAGCACCCTAACTCCAGGAGGTGGCCAGTGGGTTGGGGTCTTCTGGGGGAACATAGGAGTGCACGGGGGACACCCCTTATCCCCAGTAGTCCCAAGCATAGAAGCACAAAGAGGGATGGGCCCAGGGAAGGTAGGTCCTGGGGGAAGGGATGCTGACGGACTCACCCCTCTGGGTCCAGGAAGGACTCACTCCGAGGGTAGCAGGGCCACAGCGCCCCCTGCCAACTGACAGGTGGACCCAGTTGGGATGACCCCGACCCCGGCCCTAGAGGACAGGTGGGGCCCACATTCTCCTGTCAGACAGCCATCAAGAAGGGCGCTCAGCCTCGGGCCTAACCCCATCTGAGCTTCGGTGACTTGGGATGAGGCTCCTGCTGGGGGGTGACCCTGTCGTGCACCCCGCGAACAGCCCCTGATCATGACCTTTGAGAAGCTGTGGGTGGGGCAGGAGGCGCCAGGCAGGTGCAACTGCAGGTCAGCTGGAAGGTCCTGGCCACTGACCGCTGGGCTCGCGAGGGCCCCGCAGCGAGCAGCCTTAGTCCTTGGAGCCACACGGCCAGCTCTGGTTCTGAAGGGGTCCTGTGTCACCTGGGGTTGGGCGGGGCTGAGGGTCGTGGCCATGCTGTGGGCGGGGCGGGGCAGGCCGTGTGGGTGGGGCCGGTGGGTGGGCTGGTCGGACAGGCTCAAGGCCGCAGAGATGAGCCATGTTCCCGGAAGGCTTTTCTAAACCGCACTCGGGAGAGTGTGTTTCTTCTCGCTTTGCCTGGAGTGAGCTTGGAGGAAGACGGCCTGCCGGCCTTCTGAAGATGCCCAGTCCGGGTCTGGTCCTGAGGGGCCGAGGGCAGTGAGGACAGATGCGCTCCTGGGTGGAGGATGGTCCAGCCACTGTGTCTATGGGGGCCAGGGTTGGGGTTACTTGACCTGGGTCTGGCTATCCTTAGGCAGGGGACACCGTGAGCCCCTCATCCCTCAGAGTGAGTCTTTCCCAAGCCCAGAGGGGCTGTCTGCCAGTGTTCCCTCCTCCAGGACCCACCTTCCCTGGTCCTGTCCCCCTTGGTGCCCCCGCACATGGGACCCTCAGGGAGAGGGGCACCCGGTGCACTCCCATGGCCCACCCTGGGGACTTTGCCCACCATCAGTCTACTGGCATTAGGACGCTGATTTTCGGGGCACATAACAGGGTGTGGGGGAGATAAGGAGGGGACCCTGGCAGACCCGCCCCTCTGGGCCCCGGAAGGACTCACTCAGAGCAGGAGAAGGGTCAGTAGTGTTCCCTCCCAGCAACCAGTGCAGAGTTGGGTCACGTGATCCCGACGAGGGCCCCTGTGACAAGTGGGGCCACCTCCCCAGAGGGCAGCCATCATGAATGGTGATAGCACAACACTGTCACAGGCAACTGCACTTTATTGAATCCAGGTGTAGACAGGTGTGTCTGCACAAACTGCTGTATAAAAGGGTATGGGCAGGGAGGCAGGGCCAAAGCCCCAGGATGCTGGGCCAGCAGGCTATGGTGGGGACGGGGCCGGGGCAATGGGCAGGTAGAAGTAGCCTCTGCCCTCCTGCAGGCCCTTTATTGTCCCATGAAAATTATCAGGCAGACAACCCCCACGATGAATCCGATGCTCAGAAAGAGGCCCAAGACCAGGGCCCAGATGTTCAGGCACTTGGCGGTGGACGCATAGCTCTGGGCCCCAGTCACGTCGCCCACCATCTTCCGGTCCCTAGACTGGGGGAGAAGACACAGTGAGAGGGACCTGGAGCGGGTGTGGGAGAGCCAGGTGAGGCGACTCAGGTCCTTCCCTGCCTGGTCCCTGCCCAGAGCAGCCTGCACCTGCCCTTCACCCAGATGGGGCCACCCCGTCCCATCCCCTGGAGCCTGAGCAGCACAGTGCCCCGTGGGCCCTCCCAGCTGGGCCTCCATCTCCTTCCTCACAGACTCAGCCTCTCCAGGAGGCCTCAGGCTCCTCCTCCCTCTGCTCTGGCCTCTTCACTGGCTGCTCGCCCCGCAATGGGGCAGCGTTCCCTGTGAGTCCCTTTGTTCCTTCCGAGAGATCCTTGGAGCCCCATCCTGAGTCTGAGGGATGTAATTTCTGGTTTGGTCAGTAGAGGAATTCCCTGGAGTCCTGGGGACAAAGTCAGACCCTGGCCATGGCCGTGCACCTCATGCAGCCCCATTGTGATCTACACACTCAGACACAAGGCCTCCCCACAACCCAGGTGCCATCTGGGTGGGGAACCTAGCAGGTTGACACACTTTCTGGAGATGCGCCATGCACCACCCACCTTCACAGAGTAGGCGAAAGCCACGAAGCCCAGGCAGCACCAGTTCATGAAGATGCTATTGAACAGGGACCAGACGATGTGGTCGGGCACGGAGGTGTCACTGCGGATGTTGATCACGGTGGTCGTCACGGGACCTGAGCTCCGGGGTGCCCCCAGCACGGACACCTCATGCTCCTCCTTGATCATCTCATAGGTTGGGGGGACACCAGTGTGGACGCCACTGACAGAGGTCTGGAAAGTGTGGTTCATGGTGCCGGGATGGAGCGAGCTGTGGTCTGGACAGCTGGATGGTGCTCAGTGGGTCTTCTCTTTCCCCAGTAGTTTCGGTTTCTCTGAAGTTTCCTTTTCCTGGCTTTGGGGTATTGAGAATTGGCTGGACACCAGGAGGGCGGAACAAATGACTGAGTGTCAAATTACACTATGGCAGGGTTGGAGGAAGGGCTGTGATCTAAGGGTGGCTTCCTGTCCCAGTCAGTCAGGTCAGGTCCTGTCTCTGCTGACCCACCTCCTCCTTTAGGGCTGTGGATTGGCCCTGGGGACGTTTCCCCAGCCTGACAGTCACCCATCCTCTCCCCCAGCCCAGCCCCAAGCCTGCTGCAGAACCTCACTGTCCCCAGGCAGGGCCCCCACCAGGCCCTCACTGGGACTCCACACTCCAGGCCCCGAGGGAGTCCCTCCACCCCCACCCCCAGAGCCCACACCTGGGCAGTCCCACGCCTCCTCTCTGAAGTCTCTTGTTCTTTCCTCCTTCTGCCTCCAGGCCGCAGGTGGGGTCTGGGTGTTGCTGTGACACGCTCTTACTTGATACCATCCCTGCTATCAGTTCCCCTACAGTGACCCCAGCAAGTATGAGGTTAAAACTAAAAGCACACATTCCCAGGTCCCTGGGTCTTTAGTTATACTCATGTGTAAACGTCTGTCTCTTTAACCTGTGACTCCCTGGGCTTTACCAACAAATAGAAGTTGCACATTGTTCAAGCCCCGGTGGGCTCGCCCTGGGCTCCCACTAAAGCTGCGGCTCATCACAGGCCCCGGAGCTTCTTTTACAGAGAAACTGACGTCCAGAGAACATCAGGAAACTGAAACCTCCCGGGCCCAACTCCTCAGCTTCCTGACGCCAGAGTGTACCCTCCACCACGGAGACAAACAGCCAGGGACACTCAGCTGAGAAATCCTTTGTCTCCTCTGCTGGGAGCAGCCCCAGACACAGGCCGATGGGAGATGCTGACCAAGAAGACCACCGCCGCCTCCCCTACCTAAAACCCCAAATAAAAACCCCCACCTGTTTCTTAACAGGGAGCTAGCAACTTTTGAGGCACTGGCCCTTGCTGTGCTCCCTCTGCCTGGCAAAGAAAGAAAAGCCTTTCCTTTTTCACTCAAGACCGTGTTCTCGTTATTTGGGTTGGCATTGGGTTAAGAGACTGAACTTTCAGTTACATTTCATGGTTGCAGATCAGGACCCAGCAGTCAGCGTTGCCTGCCCTGAAGGAGCCTTCCCTGCCCTCTCCCCAGGGTCCCCCAGGAACAGGAACACTGGGCGCTCCGTGATGTGAGGAGGCGGCTGTGGTGGGAGACAGGATGACTCCAGGGCATTTGGCAGCAGCTTTAGAGCACGGGGCCAGCATACTAGTGCAGCCCCACCCCCCCTCCTCCCTCTGGTCCCCATCATTTCATGTAGGTGTCATTGGGGTGGTTACAGGATGAAGCTCCAGTGTTGTCAGGATGGCTCCTCGGCTGGCGATCCTGTGCCCCCTTCCCAGGGAGAGGCTCAGGTCAGCTTAGCAGCCAGGACACGGCTCTTTTTAAGACTGAAGGATCCATGTGTTCTCATCGTCTGCAGTCCTTACCTGACAGGACGAGGGTGTGGGCAGCCGATGGCCAAGCCTGCACTGTCCTGTTAGGAGCTGTCGTCTTTGCCTGGAGGCCCAGTTGGGTCAAGGCTCCCAGACCAGCCTCCCTGCGCGCCCCGGGCTCCCACACCAACCAGAAGTCTAAGTCTGCTGCCCTGGGCCTGCTCCAGGTTTCCAGGGTCTGATCATTTCAGTCCCTTCCCTGGAGTCCCCTCAACTGTGTGTGTGGGATCAGAATTTACTACCCCAAAATGTGTCTCTTTGCCTTGATTTTTTTTAAGAACAAAAGATTCTGAAAGAAATGTTGACCTTCCCCCTAACTGCCTAAAAGAATTTAAGATAGAAAAGCTGGTTCCAGGAAGGAGCTAATGCCATGAGACAACTATGGTAAAATGTAAGATGGGTGTAGAAAGGCACCAGCAAGCCCATTTTAACAAAGTTCTGTCTCTCAGGTCACGTTGTCCATCGATGGCCCAGCAAACACGTGCTTAAGAAACATTTGCATTTCCATCTCCATGTAAATTGTCCTCCTCCCCTCTGCAGTTCCAAATTACTACCCCAAACATCCTCCTCGGTCTTTCTGCAGTAGGTACTCTGTACAGCACACACAATCCCCAACCCCACGGCACCTCCCAACTAGGTTTGAATCTGGCTGCAAGGGACCCAAAACTCAGCTAAAGCTGTTAATGTGCATACAAGATGAGGTTTTATCTTTTGTCCTGTTCTGTGTCTTGAGAGCTTGGCTCTGTGACTTTTCTGGTCTCTGCCATCTGGAGGATGCTAGCACCAGAGTGCAGCTTGGCAGGCAGTGCTATAGACTGAGGTTCTGAGATGCACTTTCTTTGTCCAGCTGTGTCAGCTCTCAGGGAGTTTCTCATAAGGGGTCCCAGTTGCCATCATTAGCGATCTTTGCCATCTCAACCTTCGTCTCTTGTTGATGCTGGCACTTACCGTCTGTGCAATGAAGGCCTTTGCTTTCTTAGACTATTTTTGGGAGTGAACTTTCTGGATCTTGTGAGGGCTGCTTTTGTAGTCTCTTTTGGGGGTGGCTTATGCATCCACGGTAAGCCATAAAAAAGCCTTATTGGTTTGAGTTGCTATTAAGATCCTACTTGTCACTGCAGCCAGACGATGGATCATTTAAAATGGAAAAAACTTCTACATAGGAAAAAAATTTGGAGAGCTCTTGTCGTAACTGTTCTATTTGTACCTCTGAAAAGACAAAATTAAAAAGGAACTACACAAAAATGACCAGCCTTAAGACCCTGACTCAAGCTACAATTAAATTGAGAAAATGTAAAACTATAAGTGTTGATAAGATTATAAAAGTTGCAATGTTTGAGCTAATTTCATATAAAGACGTTATATCAACTTGGCCTGAGCATGTTTGGAAAACGTCTGGCTGGAAGCTTCCCCTATCCGATATTATAAGGCCAAGACCTATTGATAAAGTCCTGACAAAAGCTATGATTAGGGTATAAGAGTCGATGGAATTAAGTGATTATATCTCCTGTATGTGGTTGTGTTATAGATGTTTTGTGGGGATCGACACTGTGTCTCACTGGGGACTGTTTCCCTTGTCTGATTGTAAGACAGTGTACAAACCTGCCCTTCAGACAAGGCTAATGAAACATACTAAAGGGAAGTCAATAGGGTTGCCTGAGCCCACACAGCATGAGATAAAAACTAAAGGCTAATAAAGATAGTAAAAGCCCATCCCCCACCAAGGTAAATTGGTCTAGGGTTGAACTGTACACTTGGAAAGAGGGTCTTTGTCAGATCCTTAGTGTAGACTTTTAAAGGTGTGATACACTGTGTTAAACATTTAAAACAATAGCTGCGGAGCCTTTGTGTACGTGTGTCTATATGCACATTATATACGTGTGATGTTTTACCTCTGGATGGTATGGCCAAAAGTAAGAGCTCTGTTTAATTGGCTTCAAGTAAGAGCTTACATCAATTACTTCTAAATATAATGGAAACTAACCCAAATGTCGTTCAAGTGAACGTGATATAACATAATCTTTGGTAAGTGAAAGCTTGCTTTAATTTGTTGGTTTGATTACAATAGACACGTCTTCAAACTTATCAACATTGGAGGTGATGCAGACGTGCAGCCTGGGTTTACTAGTCAAATAAGCTCATGTCCATGTTACAAATTTGCCGGCAAAATAATAACTTAAAGTGATAAGCTGATTTTGTCCAATGTCTCATGAAGGTTTTGTAGGGAATCTAAACATAATTATTGGACACAAGTAAACTAAATAGATGTAAGTAAGATAAAAGCTTTTGGGTGAACTTTTTAACAATAATTATGTATTATGGGGTATATACTTAACAACCTTGTGGTAACCTGAAACTTTGAAGTTTTGCTAGGTTTAATTGAATGATTGAAAATTTATTGAATATCTAGATCATTTCCAAATAAGATAAAATCTTAGACATTAATTACTAAATGTAGGTATGTCTACTTTTGGCTTCTTATTACAGAGAAACCAAAAGATATTTGGGTCTATTAGTAAACATGTCTTGTGCTTCATTAAAAAGATGGTACTATGAAGTAGGATGTCACTAGACATTAGAAAAGCTATCTATAAATTTTCCAGGTCAAGAATGCAAATGTAAAATACGCTTTATAATTGTTTCTTAGTTTTCACCAAAAATTAAAGTTTCTAAGGGTTAAAAATTCTAATTAATATATGTGATTAAAGCTACTAAAATTAATAGAGGAAATATCTTTGTATTCAAGGAAAGTAAGCTGTATGTTTTCAGTAAAGAAGTTATAAGAAATAAAGATATTTTGGTTTGTTCAAAAAGGTTATAGGAGGTTTATGGAAGAGAAACTCTGAGAAAGGAATTTTGTACGTGGTCAACTTGGCTAAGATTAAAATGAATCCGATTAAGTGAATGAATTTTAAGATCAAAAGCAAGCTGATGCAAAAATAGAATTTCTTTTTTCTCTCTCACTTAAAAGGATCATTTTCTTAAACGTTTAGTCTGCTCTTGATAAAGACATTATGAAGATTTTTCTTTGAGTAACCTACCAGGAGGGCACAGATTTTATGTTTTATAAAAATAAATTTCTAGTCTTTAATAAATAAATATAAATATAAATAAATGAATAATAAATATCAGGTCTTTAATCACAGGACAGCCATTTAATTTTCTGCCTGAAAATCTTTAATTTTCACCAAGGTAAATGGATAGCTAAGCATTGTTTCATAGGGACCTACCATATTGTGTGGGTAAATGTTATGGATATAAGTGGTTTAAACATTATATAACATTCCTAAAATTCTGATCTGCCCTGGTTGTCAGTCATAATTCTAGTCCTACTTTTGCAAATAGATTTCATCTTCAGAGAGATTCATATAAAGGACTCTGACACTCTGGAATACAAGTTTCTGATAAACTTTCAAATCACAAAACTGAATGAGGTAAGAAATTACAGAAATCTAACAGAAAAACTGATAACTTCATGAAATTGCTAACAGAAAATCA